CCTTCCTTCCTTCCTTCCTTCCTTCCTTCCTTCCTTCCTTGTGGTTTTGAGGATTGAATCCAGGGCCTCACAAGCACTCTTTCAGTTAAGCCATGTTCCCAGTCCTTTTGCAGTTTGTTTTGTTTTCAGATAGGGTCTTGTGCTTTTACCCATGTTGACCTTGGACCATGCAGTACCTGGGATTATAGATGTGAAACACCACAACTGGAAATATCTGTGTCACTGTTCCCATTCCAAGTTTCTGGGAAAGAGAAATGAAGTAGCACCACCAGAGTCAGGAAACTTCCAGTGAGCCTGACAGCTGTTGGTATGTATGAGCATATGTGAGGAGTCAATAGTTTAGAAAAAATTTTTTTGGTAGCACTGGGGTTTGATCTTGAGCTTCACACTTGATAGACAGAGGCTCCACCACATAAGCCATGCTTGAGCCCATGTCAATAGACTCTTAGGGTTCCCCTTCCTCAGCTAATGAAGCAACAGGCTCTCTCAAAAGGGGATGTATTTGTTATAGCTGCACACAAACGATTTTTGTTTTGTTCAGAGCAAGTCACATACTAAAATCATGCTCTACCACAGAGTATGTTCCCCAGCCCCCACAATTACTATTGATTCTCTCTCAGGGTTTCTGTGGCTCAGGAATTTGGCTTGGGTATCTCATCTCTTATGCCCTTGAAGTCAGGTGATGGCCAGAAGTCGTATCATTTTGGTGGCTTCTTCATTCACATGTCTGACACCTGGGTTGAGTGGGCTAAGGGGGAATGCATGAAATAGCTGAGACCTACTAGGGATCTATTTCTTATTAATTTTATTGTGCCAGTCATGGGGCTGGGTGAACTCAGGGCCCGGGTACTGCTCTTGAACATTTTTGCTCAAGAATATCATTCTACCACTTGAGTCACAGCTCCACTTCTGGCTTTTTTGGTAGTTTAGTGGAAATAAGTCTCACAGACTTTCATGCCTGGACTGGCTTTGAACCAATATGCTCAGATCTCAGCCTCCTGAGTAGTTAGAATTACAGACATGAGCCACCAATGCCCAGCTTGTGCCTCTATTTCTATGTGGTGTCTCCATGTGGATATTTCAGTATTGATCATCTGCCAAAGTCACACTGTAAGAGCCCAGTGCTGGGCAGTAGTGACTCATGCCTGTAATCCTAGCTATTCAGTATGCTAAGATCTGAGGATTGCTGTTCAAAGTCAGCCTGGGCAGGAAAGTCTGTGAGACTCATCTCCACTAAACTAACAAAAAAATCAGAAGTAGAGCTGTGACTCAAGTGATAGAGCACTAGCCTTGAGCAAAAGAAGCTCAGGGACAGCATCCAGGCCCTGAGTCCAAGCCCCAGGATGGGCACCAAAAAAAAAAAAAGATAAAAGTTGAGGGGTGTTATTATGGCTGTTTTTTGAAAACACAATCTGCATATAGATGGATAGTTGTTCTCCTAGCTAATACTACTTAACATCATTCTATTTTACCCAACAATTGTATCTATAAACATTTCATCACATTCTTTTATGACATAAGTTTTTTTTTCTTTTGTGGAACTCAGGGCTTGGTACATGCTAGAAAAGTTTTAACTTATGTTACCAAAGTAATAGACACTTAGAAACCATTTCAAAATACACAAATGAATAAAGAAAAAATGTTTTTATCCCTTCTCTTTCATCATACACCCCAGAGGTAACAGTGAGTTTTGTACCTAGGTTTTTATATCTGTTCAATCATAAGATTCTACCTTTAATAAAATCAAATCCTGGGCTGGGAAGGTGGCTCAGTGGCAGAGCGCTTGCCTTGCATGCATGAGGCCCTGGGTTCAATTCCTCAGCACCACATAAGCAAAAAGAAAAAAGCCGGAAGTGGTATGGCTCAAGTGGTAGAGTGCTAGCCTTGCGCTGAAGAGCTGAGGGTCAGTGCCCAGGCCCAGAGTTCAGGCCCCACGACCGGACCCAAAAAAAAAAATAAAATCCTATTTCATACAATTAAACCATGTATATTTTTTTTTGGTTGGTCATGGGGCTTGATCTCTGGGCCTGGACACTGTCCCTCAGCTCTTCAGCTCAAGGCTAGCACCCTACCACGAGCTACAGGGCCATTTCTGGCTTTTTTCTGCTTATGTGGTGCTGAGGAATCAAACCCAGGGCCTCATGCCTGTAAGCCAAGCACTCCACCACTGAGCCAACTTGCCAGCCCCATAAACCATACTTACTTTTAACAAAGCTAAATTATTTTACTTGAGAATATCTCAGCTACCTTCCCATGACATGAAGTGGCGATAAATCAGATTCTTTTTTCAAGTTACATACTATGACATCGTTTGGGTGATGGTGAAAGATTTATTATTTGCAGGTTAATGAATTTTAATGGGATCAAATGATCACACAATGACATTTTGTATATCTTCACATAGGGTATTTTGTATCTTTGTTGGGAATTTCAGAAAGCAAGCCATGGGAATAGTCATCAGCTGCAACTGGTGATGGGTATTTTAGTCTTTTGACTTCAGGCTTACTACCTTCTTTCTTCTTTCGCTGGCGATGACGCTTAGCTTTGTCATAATCCTCCCTGAACCGCCAGGTTTTCCACCCTTCAAGCATTGCAATAACATTCCGGGAGCAAATTTTGTTTCTCAGATACTCCTTGTATTCAGCTTGAGTTTCAAAATCCCTGCGATGTAAGAGATCTTTGCTGTAACTCCTCTTATTCTCCAGAAACTCCATCTTTTCCTTGTAGCTATTCTCCAGGGTGTCACTTCCTGTGGTAGGGTAGCATTCCATATATGAGTTGGCTGTAGTATAATGGTCTCCCAGGTGTTTCTTGAGGTCAAGCTTCTTTAGGGATTCAGTGCCTTCCAGAGAGGACTGGATATTCATGGACTTCATCAGTTTTGTGGTCGACTCCAGTTCTTTTTGGAGAGCTATTCTGGATTTCTCAAGGGACCGAAACCTTCTTCTCTTCGCTGTCTTGAAGGCTTGATCTCGAAGCCACTCTCGGTTCAGTTCCTTGTTTCTCTCTGCAAGGTGTTCCCTGGATCTCGCCATCATCTTGTCCCATGATGTCTTGGGAATAGGAGTCATAGGGTCCTCAATATTGTAAAAAGTGCTGCTGGCTTCAAAAGGTCTCTTCTCGCCTTGATCCTTCTTCCTGTATTTCTTACTGTAGGTATCCTGCCCGAAGTGTGAAAACACCTGGGTGAGCTTGCTGATGATGGTGTCACTTGTGTTCACAAAAGTTTGAGGCTCCACGCTGGGACAATCGGCCTTGTCTCGGATCACGGTGAGAGGGATATCTGATTCAGCATCATCATTCAGGTTTACCAGGTAGGCCATGCGGCCTGGAAGGAACAATTTATTCGGCTCGGCATCAGGCTTGTTCTTCTGGAATAGTGCTTGGTAGATAGTACGACCCAAGGGTGTTTGCAATTCAGGCTCTTCGTTGTTATCAGATGTACTCTGAGCCTTTTCCATCAGCCTCCTTTCTTTCTCTTTGTTAGCGGTTTCCGATCGAATTCTTTGAAGCAAAGCAACATCCTTCCCTTTCCCCAAATGGGTGTGTTCCAGGTCACCCCCCTGGATGAATTGCTTTTGCTTCTCTGTGTTAAATTTGGTGACGCCCAGGGTGGCACTCATAGCTCGACGGTAGATCCCGGTGGTACAGATCGGCTGGCTTTCCTCGTATTTCCTGCGCATTCTCTCTCTCCATTCCTTGGCATAATCTCCATACTTCTCGCCTGGCTCCTTACCTCTCTCCACTCCCTGATAATAGTACCTGGTAGAACTTTTCTTCCATCTTAATGGAGCCAATTCTTTGTCTTCTTCACATTCTTCTGAAATCTCAGGGTAATGAGACTTACAGGGGGAGATCCCGCGAAGTCTTCGCAAGTCGTCATTAGTAAGTTTGGATTTTAGAAATGAAAACGGCCCGTCCCCATGTTGGCCTCGTAGGGCCCAAGAGTCAGGGAACAGCTTAAAATCTTGCTTCTCCATCTGGTCCAGCAAGGGCAAAGGCCCAGGCCCTCACATGGCCTTAGCCACAAGCTCCCTCCCAGAATGCACTGCGGAAACACCTCATAATGCTCTGTGGAACGTCTCAGGACGCTTTGTCATCGGGGCTTTCCGCTCCCACCCCCACCCTCCGTGCAATGTCACAATCAGAGCACCATGAAGCCAGAAAAGGGTCATTTTCTCTCTTTTTCCTTTCTTTCTCCCTCCCTCCCTCCTTTTCTTCCTCCTTCCTTCCTTCTTTTCTTTATTTTTTCCTTTCTTTCTTCCATACCCTTCTCTTCCTTCCTTCCTTTTTTCTTTGCCCTTTCTCTCTCCCTCTTTTCTCTCTTTCTT